GTCTCGTACGTACGTAGTACGTTACGTACGTACTACCGTACTACGTACGTACGTACGTACGTACGTACGTACGTACTACGTACGTACTACGACTACACACACACACACACACGACACAGACACACACACACACACACACACACACACACACACACACACACACACACACACACACACACACACACACACACACACACACACACACTAACAGCTGCAGTGGACAGGACAGGATGGCCAACAGCTTTCAGATGTCATCTTACGGAGGCACGTATCCAGACATTTTAGCTTACACTAAAAAGTGATAAGCAATGAAAAACAGGGTTCCTTGTGTATTACAGAGATGAGAGGAGGCTGGAGAGTGTAGCCGTACACTACAATCATCCAGGCCATCTTCAGAGCTGTAACATGAGCCTTTGCACCCACATCTCCCTTCATCAGTGCCTGGACCAGAATGCCTTTATTGGTAGTGTTTACAGCCCTGCAAGGGCAGTATCTATTCAGACAATCAGTAACAGTATGTCTGTCGCAGTGAGAAGAAAATATATAGAAAGATACATTACCTTAACTGAACTGTATGTACATTGGGTTTTAACTTAAATAAAAATGGAAGTGTTAGTGATCTGTATTGTTTGTTTGACACCGTTAAGAAAATACACTAACATGATGAATGATCCTTTTCTTACCGAGTTTCTTTGAGGAGACTCAGAGCCACTGGGCCTCTTGGCTTTTTGTGCCAGCGATGTGCCAAACCTCAAGGCCTCGTACACAGGGTCCACTTTGTTTCCACAGGCTTTAGAAAATAAGACAACATTAGAGCTAATGGCAAACAAATGTTAAGCTTTCTGATTAGCTATGAGGTGCACTAAAAAACTGAAACGTTGACTTAAATTAAATGTGTTATGTCAACAAATGTTACATTACTGTATTGGGTTAGTTGAAACCAAACTAATTAAGTTAAGGTTAGTACCGGTATATTTATATAGCACATTTCATACACAACACGAGCCTAACATTTTATATATTATTACAACTCACTTTTCACCCTAATACAGTTATGTGAAATTTGTTGACATAATACATTTAATTGATTGTTGTGATTTACAATTCTATCACAACGAGTTAGAAAATCTTTAAAACAGGAAGTGCAAAAATGGCTCCAAAAGAGTTGAGAAAAGTATTTTTGCTTTACAGCATGTGAACGTATCATGGAGATTTAAGCTGCTCACCGATGGGCATGACTTCTTTGATGCAGCCATACTGTTCCTGGATCAGTAATGGAGAGCTGTAGTACCGCCGAAAGCCTTTTGGCTGAAACACAGACAGGGAAAAAGGAGAGAGACAGGCGACAGACATTAGAGACAAATCAATATGCAGCTCCGCAGGCAGCTCAGCGGCCTGACACTGAAATACTGCACGTAACTCTGCTGTCGTTTGTGAGAACATCTGACGGGGATAAAGCTCTGCCGCACTGAATGTCAGACGTCACTGATGAGTCAAAGCAACTGTTTTTCACTGCAGACTGAGAAACAATCAATACCTGAAATATCTCTTTAAATAAATACTAATACTATTTGATGCAAGTAATTAAATAATGGTGACTTAATCCACAGTAATTTATAATGACTAATGAATTCATAAATCCAAATTGGTTTAGGATCAGTAGGTAGGTTACTGAAATAAAATGTGTATTGAGTAATTTAGTGTATATTTCTAAACTGTTTTCAATGATTAGGAGAGAATATTTTAAAAAGTATAATTGAATAATATAATAATTTTGAACACTTATGAACCCATTTTGATAACAAACAGACAGTCATTTAAATGATTATTGCATTACTTTTCATATCAGTAAACAACATTGCACCAATAGCATGGTGTCTCTAGCAGCCTTTGAACACAACTTGAGAATTACATCCATCAGCAAAGCCTTGAATTTAAGTTTTAGTTGTATATTTATGACAAACAGAGTTAAAAATGCAAGAGAAGACTATGTGTCATATGTCAAGTTGTCCACCGAAATGAACCTGACTAGAAAAACATTTCAGAAATTCATGGTCAGCATTTATCTGCCTGTCAAGTCCTCATCCAATCTCCAAAGGCACTCAAACATTTATCATTTATAAATCCATTATCCATCCAGTAAATACTACCCAACAGTTTTAAATCGTGGGTAGATAAAGAAGAAAGACAATGGAAATCTTCTTGTTCCATAAGATCTGAGCACACTGGGTAATGATTAATGTATATATGTTCAGGGTTTTTTTTCTCTTTGTGATTTCATTTTCATCCATTTATTCTTGAGTGGATGTGAGCATTAGTGTTGGACACCTACATCTCACAGCACTGCCTTTTTTCAGTTTGTTTACATTTTATTTATTCAAGTGGCAGGCGGTAAAATATTCATTGCTAATCATCAGTTGTCATGAATTATTCTTTTGACACTTCTGATGTGAAACACAGAAAAAAGCCAGCCTCGAGCTTTAAAGCCCATCTCGAAAACTGATTCTAGGGAGATCTTGAAAAAAGTCATAGACGCCTTTCTTATTAGAAAATAATCTGTATACACAACAATAAAAACAGGGGGAGATTATGAGTTTGACGAAGCTGAAGGTGAAGTTCAGGAAGGTTGCGTTACCAAATTGTTGACACACAAGTGCTGTTGAATACTACATTTATTTAAAAAAACTTCATTTGATATGAATTAATTGTGACTGTATCAGTAAGGAACTCCATGAAAGAAAAGCGACACACTGGTTTCATGGTAAATAAAGATTCAGAGCATGAGGTAATTTTACTTCTTTGCTAAACTATTCTCAAGCCAAGAGAAACAAGCATGGCTGCTGAAGTGTCCAAGTTTAGAATAAGTCGAAATTAGAGCCGTGCTCCACTGGGAAAACTTCCTTTTTTATGCTTGATCTCTCAACCTCATTTTCCACTCCTCAGAGTCGATCATGTCTAAATGCCTCATCCCTTAAGCAGCTAGTGGAAAGACATCACAACAGGAAGGGGAAAAGACTGCCTGTACTGTGACTATTTCCTCTATATAATTTCCATATGACGTACTTTATTCTTGCTGATTGACATTTGCTTATTCCAAATCGCCTCAAATGATTCCAGTTCAATTGTAGGGAAGGGATTATCCAAATACTGTGGGGAACAGAGTATGAAAGGTATGAAATCACACTTAATTTGATCTGACAGTCTCCCTTTCTTCTCAGTGTGGGATGAGTGCGGATGACTAAAGAGTCCCAGTCCACTCCTCACTGCCAGTTTGCTCCACGGCAATGGAAGTGAAAGCAATTTTTTTTTTGGTGTTTTTTTTTTCCAGTAAAAACACTCACAGACCAACAACGCCTGGTTCGCCTTTTAATGCAGGTTCACAGATGATGAGTGATCACATTAGAGCTTTAAATCTCTCATATAATTACATATCACTTAATTATAATAACTATGCTGGTACGAGTGTGTGGTTTTACAGCTGTGAGGTTATTAAAGTTCAGGGTCAATGCCTCTGACTTGTGATGTAACAGCACTGAAAAGCTGACGTATTGACTGTACCAACTATTAAATCAAATATTTTATGAGGCAGTTTTGCTCTAGTTCTTTATGTCAACAAGTAGGAACATTTAAATTCAACCTACAGTATAAGCTCTATCCAAACAGTTTGCCTCTGCTTTTGCTCACGTTTATTGCTCATTAACAGAGTAATTAATATCAAACAACTCTGGGAAGTAAATTGCTGGAATTATATCAGCGTAGATGTATTTTATTAGATAACATTGCATGAAAGGTGAATGATGTTAACCTTTCCTCTTATCAGCTTTTCAGGGACAAATCAAAGGCAGCTTTCAGTATGTTTGAAACCAATCACTGATCACTAATAAATACCGCCAACTTCCACATTGTTGTGATATTGAACTAGAATCTCATTGTGTCTTATAGAAAATGTAAAGGCTCAAGTTGAATAAATGATGTGATAAATATTCCAAATATTATTTTACAACCCCTAATTTGATGACCAGGGCTTGACTTACATATTAAAAAAGACATCAAGGCAAAGGTGAGATTGTGAAATGCCAAAACATATCATAAAACTGTTACGTGTGAACTCTTCAACAGCTGTTATAAAACTGCTTTTGGGTGATTGATCCTGTTTCAATGGTCTAATGCTGGCAGCAGAACTTAACGGACGTCAGCAGTTATTTTACTTCGTTGATATTATCTAAGACTCAGAGTGATGATATAACGATGATCAGCGAAGAGGATGGACAGATGTAACAGCAAGCTCACACAAAGTGTGATTTCTGAATAAGCACATTCTGGTGGGAAAGACACAAGGCCAACTATAATATGTCTGTTTTGGTTTCTGTCAAAAAGACATCAGTAACTAAAAGCTCAGTCTCCCAAACTGTTGACAGTAAAGTGGCAAAAGTGGTACATTGTGACCTGGTGTCTTTTACTTTTCTGTGTCATGCATCTCACCAGTTTGCCCATGCAGCGCTGCTGTCCCACTCCGTTTTCACACTTGTGGTGGAGGCTCATCTTGCAGGCTTTGCAGCGGAGGCCGTGCTTTGCTGTGTTTCCCGCCAGGAACACCACATGCTTGGCTGTTGTACCTGATGCACACACAAAAGGTTTAAGAGGTTAAGACAGGATCTGTCAGGAGCTGGACTCGAATGGGGCTCCTAAGTGAACAGTAAATCCCAAACAGAAAGGCAGAGGCATGGAAAATGTTGTTCAGATGTCCTTCACATTCATTTATTCATCGTCACACTTGTTGCAAGCTTAGAATTTCTGGAGTTTTTCCCGGGGTGCACTAGGGGAAAACTGGGAAGAGACATGTGGAATATTTTAACAGTGATACAAAACGTGATGTGCAATTTTAGCAAAACCATTTTAACAAAACAGACTGTGACTGAGTGGTATCTGCCCCATGAGAACACTTTTTAAATTGCTGCCTGTGTGCAGTTTACCCTCTCTTATTAATACCTGACTCACAGTCGCTACAATAAATGAAGATTAATCTGAATTTACTGCAAAAATATTTGTGTGTGCATTTGTGCAGAGGTGTGTGAATGAGTAACAAATGAATATGCAGAGAGAGAAAAATAAAGTAATACTAATGAGAAAGATAGTCTTGTTCAGAGTGGAGATTGTAGAGAAAGGTGAAAGCATAGAATAAAGTAAATCACATGTCAACATCATCAGATGGTATCAAAGTTGTCTTTAAAAAGGGATCACTGGGCTGGGGCTCTGTTATTGTGTGTGTTTGTGAGAAAGACATACAACAAAAGAGAAAGAGCTGCATACAGTAGGTAGGTATGTGTAAGTTGGCATGTTTGAGGAGTGAAAGTGAAGTGCAATGTCACCGCAGGGAATCAAACTTTCACTGTTCATCTTACAGATTTCATTAAAATAAGTTTGTCACCAGAATTAAAAGTCACGTAGCTCAAGTTTACTCTTTAAAAAGGTATTGGCAGTTTAAATGACACATAGGCTCACTAAAACATTGTGAAACTACAGTTTTAACCATGAAACATTGAAGACTATATCCCTGCCCAGGGCCATTAAAAATAATGATGATTGGGGTTGGCTGTACAAAAAAAAGATAATCATATATCATTTCATAATCCAAAGCATCCAGGTTTACGACACACATATAAAAACTGTCAAATTATACATCCCCACAAAATCATATAAGGAGAGATTATCATAGACTATGTATATTTATGTTACACGATTATAGGACAAAAAATACCACTTGTAGCCAGCAGTTTATCGTTTGATGGTTGTTGGCAGGAGAGGAAAGTGTTACTACTGCACACAGTACTGAGAGTCCCAGTGCAGTTATTAGTTACAGTCCGGCAGCTATGCACCTCCAGCTCTTTATTGATCAATCAATGAGCCCTGCTCTGGTATACTGTCTGCATGCGTGTGTACAAAAATATGGACATAAGGATTCATTGACCTCATTCAGTGTCGGTGAGAGTGCAGGGAGAATATACGTTTCATCACTGAAAGGTTGTCAACTTTGTCCATGATGTGATGTGAGTGAATGGGCATTGAAGCAAGAAAAATACTTTCTCAGTTTGACGAGCAGGGTTAAGAGGGTCATTGAGCAAGAACACTGTAAAGATGTAACCGAGCAGAAAACACAAGAAAAAACACAACAGACTGTCAAGGCAACCTAAGGTACAAAGCCCCTTGTGCAGTTTCCTGATTCAACACAGAGGGAAATAAATCTATGCTGTTATGTGAACTGGTGTCACAGCTAGTATCTGGAGCTGGGCAGCAGTGACAAGATCTCAGTAATGGGTGGAAAACTCTATCTGTATTCTCCATTTAAATCTCTGGTGTCGCCCGGGTGAGCCTCCCTGCTGCAGAGCTGCCGGAGTTAGTTAACCTGAGACAGAAACCGCGAGAAATGTGATCCCAGACTGAACCTCACATGGGTTAGCTGCACATCACAACAACAACAACAAAACAAAAACAGTACGAGCAATAAGTACAACCTGCACCAATTTTCCGGTCACACTATTAAAGGTCAACTGATTATGTTTAACGAACACTTGGAGTTTCTTTCTCCCTCATGTCTGTAAAATGTTCTCTCTGGCATCTTTAGGAAACCCTGGATTGACTTCCTGTCCGTCTTTCTGGATGCTCAGGGACAGGAAGCAAATGAAGAAGCTCTTGACAAGGAGTTGTTGATTGGCTTGTTTGGGCTGAGTCGTTCCAACATGGAGGAATAATGAGACGCCTCCATGTTAACTCATAACAGCTAATAAGGTAACAAACCACAGTGTTTCACAAGTTGCTGACATTGTCCACCTTCAGTAATGGCTGGGTAATGACGTAAGTGTGTGTGTTTAGTTACGTTTTCCTCCAGGCTCAGAGAGGGTCCTTAAAGCAGTGCAGCTGCAGAGAAAGAGAGTCACAGCGCTGCTCTCTCTGGCATTTGCTCTTACTTGGCTACTCTGCTTTTAAAGCTAATACTTCATTTATGCTGCAGAGGTCCTGCCAGATTGTACATACCTTCTACATCTTGTTTCTCTTTTTTATTCCCACACAGTCTTTCCCCCCTCCTCAATTTCCCACTCTTCCTCCCCACAGCGTCTCTCACTGCACACCCTCCATACAATAGCCCAACATTGATCCATTAAGCCACTGTTGTTACTTCACGCCTCATGATTTCCTAACCTTCATCGTGACAATAACTCCTCCACCTCCTGATCTCCATAAGCTCTGCGAAAACACTGACCGGGGCAGCTTTCTTTGGTTTATTTGCAGATTTAATTCGTTTCTCAAACAGTCATTGGAAAAGCTGTCGACACTGAACAAAAACTATTTCCTCATCTTAAAACTAAATCTGTCTAGAATGTTGAATACTAGTACACACTTCTTACACAGCATATGTGTGTGTGTCTGATATGTGTTAATGCAGGGAGAAGAAGTAAAGCCTCACATTCATTCATGTCTACAACCCAATCTCTGACCACAGATTAATTTCTCTGCAGTCAAACAAACCTGTCATCTCAGGGATTTCCTAGCACAGATTTATGCACGTTATTCAAGTGAGATTACTGTCCTTCATGGTAGATTATATCAACTCGTTTTATTCATTAATCCAGGAATTTAGATGCCTTGCTTTGAGGCATTTGAAGCATCTTGTAAGTATATTACTGCCTAACCCCTTAAAGTGTATGAAGTATATCAGTAATTATTGACTGACGGGTGATTTTTTGTAATTTAAAAATATCAGAGATTTCGAAGGACAGAATGTATATGTTCAGAGTTCTGGTATTAATAGCCAATAAAAGAATTACAATAAACTGGCTTAAACCCTACCTTGGACCAATGGACACAAAGACTTGTACACTGTATGGAAAATATAAAAGTGAAACTACAACTCAAGATGGAAGTGTATTTCTAGAAATGGTCACCTTTTATAAAAGGTATTTAGCAAAGTAAACATATTGTAAACATTTAATTGGACTCTCTGTATGTCTTTTACTTTTGTATTGATAATTGCTTTTTTACGTTGTATTTCTTGATTATATAATACATTTATTATATAACTGTATTATATTGTAACTGTACCATGTTGTGTGAGACTCACTGTCAAGGAACTTGTTCTAATAAATGTTCAAAAAGAATATCCGAAATGTTCATCTGCGTATTACTCTCAGACAGTACAGTATGTACTTTTAGAAAGTTTCTGCACAAGTACTGTTCAACCGGCTCCTTGTTTGGAATGTGTTACGATTTTATAACCTAAAATCTATAAATACATTTTTTAAGCCTTCGCAGTAAATTATTTTGACGCTCCATCAGGCACAAGTAACTATCCCGTTCACTCATGTAGACATTGATTTAATAAGCATTTTTCTGCAAGGATCCGCAATCAATATCTCAGCATAAGGCTGTACTCGATCAGAGCAGTTTTATATACCGGTGGACCTAACTCATTGTGAGCCTAAAAACAAAACGCTAGCTTTCATGGAAAAAAGGCTGCACACTGAACATAGCATTTAACCCGTGTAATGATTAGGAAAACTACATTGGATGAGACACAAAAATAGCGAGGTCACCTTGGGATAAATACGGGAAGAAGTGATAGAACATGCAAACCAAAGACACTTCTTTGTTACTGAAACTGCTTTTTTTAAAACAAGTCTTCTCTGAGCTTGCCTAAAAACAAATCTAAAGACACAAACTATTTACCCGTGACTTTTTCTTACCATAGTATATTTAGCCTTTGGACACAAGTAATCCAATATGCACTACGTCTACATTAAGTATGATAAGCTTTATTTAAAATATTTAAAATCTTTGAACTCAATATCATAGATGTGCAGATCAGTGCAGTGCAACAAATATCTAAAATAGTGGATATTTAGCACTATTTTTGTGTTTTTCTGATTCTACAAACATGATATAAGTCTATATTTCATGTGATGGCAAAATGTAAAAGTTATACTGTAACATACTTCTCCATATCAGATTTCTGAACAATCTTCACTTTTTGGGTGATTTTCTCCTAATTATATCAGATTAAGGGCACATCTGGGTTTAAGGCTCAGCCCACCCACAAAGGTGTTTTCCATAAACCTGGCTGATTAGACTAGAAATTAAATGCAGCTACGCTTAACTCTTTTATAAGCTAATAATAAAGAACAGCGTGGATGTTCTGCCCCTTACAGATGTAACAAATCTAACAGGAGGAAGAGAGGGAGATGTCAATCAAGCACGAGATCTAATCAAACTGAAAACACCTGTGTGATGGACTGAGGGTGTATACTGGCTTTACCTCTCTTCTTTAGACTGGGTTTGAGTACATTTCTAGATACACAAAAGGGGACTCCTTTTGTGACAAAGCAGAGTCAGAGTAATAGCCATTTCTATTATGGATGACGTGTTTAATTTGCACAGGCTTTCATATTAAGAGATCCTCCTTCAGGAAAAACAAAAGGTGGGTGTTTAATGTACCAGGCTATCTTTTGCTATATTACCATTCTGCTATTAATCTACATGTGGCTGTATATAGGGTGTATTATAAATATTGAAACAGTAACCTTGATGAAGATTAAACCTTGAGTTAAAATAAGTGTTAATCCATTTAAGGATCAACATGTCCCTTCCATTTCCAATGATATACTATATTATTTAAGATTAAGGTGGTGAATATGTAAAGTTATTTTGGGTTTTTATCTACACCATTAAACTGACAAATTAACACATTTATATGTATTCCTATATTTATATTTAGTCTGCTGTACACTTATATTCATTGAATTACAAGAAGCATTTCACTTCGGAGAACCTTATCCACATCTACGAATCATCGATAATTATAATACACTTGTACTTCTTCAACTCCGTAAGCTTTCTAATGAATTGCCATTAGGATGAATTAATCACAGTTTGCTTGTACTTGTACAGTTTAAGTATCTTTTAACACAACTATGTGTCTCCTGTGAGCCGCCCTTGATTCTGGATGTCAAGAGTCGGACTATGACAGCACCATGAACACACACATGCAAGATAGTATGTTAAAATTAACACAGGACAAATTAAGAAGAAGGCTGCATCTTCCTTCATGATTGGACCAGAGGGATCAGCACCTTTCACAGGACCTTACATCATCCTTTCACTATCATTATCCATTCAAGGCCTCAGCCACTGGAAACCCCACACAGGCAACACCCCCATTAGTCTGACAAAAACTAGATTGTTTCAATTATGCAACGAAAAGCAAAGACTGTTGGCACACTGATACAGTGATATATATATATATATATATATTCATGTATTTGTTCAACCTGCCCACATTGTCACTGGTCTGTCGTCCTCTATCTGCTGTGGTATCAGGGGCTAGTTGGGCAGATGGTTCGGGGAGCAGCTATCATTATCAATCAGCAGATGCCCTGAGACACAAAGTCCTAGTGGTCCCTCTGAACCGATAGTTAACAAGGAGGGGGGGGGGGGCAGCCAGAGAAAACAGAACATCTGGCAGGGGGAGAACAGGTAGAGCAGCTGGCTATCTGACACCTCGGCCGACAGATGGAGGAACCTGGCTCAGCGTGCCAAAAAGAAAAGGATGGAGATACTATGGTCCCAAGTCTGTTGGTCGAGATGGATGCTCTGTATCAGGTGCCTTAATTAGTGTTTTTATGAATATGGCTTCTGTGTTCAAAATGTTTTAAGGATGATAAAAAATCAAGGTTGGCGTCCAAACCGTATGTGCATATTATTGCATATTTATAACTCTCTAATTGTAATTCTGATGTTGGAGCCTTTTTATGTATAACTTCATCAGGTTATCTGATGAAGGCCTCATTAAGAAAAGGTTATTCTCAATGCTTTGATTGCAAAGTTCATCTGATGATGTGCAGGATTCTTTTTCTCCTACGATCTTAGTTAGATACTCTGCTTCCACTAATGAAGGAGGGAGGCGGTGTAACCATACCTACGATCATGTGGTTGCAGACGTCACAGAACGTGGGCTTCTTGAAGATGTGCTCCATGAAGCAGTGTCCTGCCGAGTCTACCTGCAGCGGGTTGCGTATCTGGGACCGTGAGTTGGGGGGGGGAGCGGAGGGGATGGCTGGAGGGACGGGTGGGATGGGCAGGTGGGTGGTGTGCGGCGGGGCCATGTTGCAGAGATGTCCCGTGCTGCTGCTCACGTCTGAGAGCAGCTCCGTCTTGTTGTCGTTGCTGTTTCGGAAGAAGTTGTCCGCGCTCTTGCTGCGCATGGTCTTGGTCTTGAAGGACAAGGAGCGTTTTAGTCTCTGCAGCTGAAAAAAAGAGAAAAAAATGTCAATGCAAATGGAGGGAGGAAGAGAAAAAGACAGAGTATAAATGAGGAGAGAGAAGAATTCAGCAGAACTGAGTGAAGCAAATCAATTTCTATAACAACCCTAATAGATTACGAGCTGAGTCTGTAAAACCTCCAGGCAAATGTCTCAGCGTCTGATGGCTGATAAAAGACTATTGCGAGGTGCAACTTATCACCTCTGAGTGGAAAACCTTCAATGTTTCCTACCTGGAAGGTAATGTGATATTCTGGTTAGAGCAATGCATCATATCAACACTTTTCCTCTCACACTGTGTTTTCATATCTGTCAGCAGCCTTCATTAATCTCCTCAGGGCCCTTTATGACAGTAATGCAATTCATAACACTCCACACTGACAACTCCTCATTTAACCTCCCAGTGTGATCTTCCTCCTCTGTGAAACCCATTTAATTCTGGGCTTAAACACGTAATAAAGAATCTTTAAGCTCCTCTAATGAGATGTTATGGTTATGATTTCCGGATGGTGCGGCTGCAAGTCTCTCATTGCAGAAACATGTTATTTAAGCACATCATACCCTAGCACACAGAACAGGCCTGCATGTATAACTAAAGAGATAAACAGGTGAGGTTTCTCTGCGGTGTGCAGAAGGGTTAAACCGTTTGTTTTAAAGTATTAGCTTTGCACACACAGACAGTTTACATCAACTGATTCTGAGCCGAGTTGACTCATATTCCATCGCACACTTTAACTACAATACAATTAATTGAAAACTGCCATTGTTATTGCATTATTGTTGACTTACAAGCCTGAACACATTGTTTAGAGAGCTTCCCATTGCAGCTTTGGTGTGGTGAAGATCAATAATTCAACGGGTCAGGAAACAATCAATTTAGAGCCATTACCGCCCACACAGGAATGCACATCAGACATGAACATAGAGCACACACACTGTAACCTCTCTCACATGGCTTTCACACACCCTGAAAAGGAAAACTGTGGTCAGGCATAAATTAAATTAAATTGTTCATCACCTTTCCTGAGGTTGGAATTCTGCTTACATTGTAGTTTTTTAGAAAAGATGTGATGGAAAAGATACTACACATCGTTCCTTACATGAACATGTAAAAAATAAAAGATCTCTAAATCAGAAAAGTGAGCATGCATCAAGGAGCTCATGCTGTGATTGATGTCCTCAAATCTATAAGAGCTGTGATTTATCAAAAAGCAGGAATGGTTAATATGGGCTGGAATTGGTTATGAAAAATAATATAGATAGAAATATTTTAAATAATAAGTAAAAATAACATTCCAGTTATAGCTTGAGATCATTAAGATAATTTAAAATAAACTCATTAACTGATGCAGCCTATAAACAAAGATTGCCCTCTATGGTGAACTAATTTCTATGTGGCATTAACGTCACTAAGTGATCCATCTTATGAAGCAGGAAAAGTTGTAACGCAAAACTATTTTTATCTTTATGTACATGCAGGTATGATGGACTAAATCAGCAGATCGCTACAGTTTACACAAGAGTGGAGGCTCACCTTGCGCTTCTGATGTTCAGGCCTCACAGTATTCTTTAAGGAAGAATAAAAACACAAACAAAGCTTCACTTAAAAAGGTAGAAAACGTTTTCAGCTTAAAGTGGAACTCGTCCTACTTGTACTGCATGTAAGGAAGACTCAACATGTTCCTCTCAATTTTGTTTGTCTTTCCGACGTTCTACTACCGTTGGATGTTAGAAGAAGTTTTATGGTTTGGCAGAGGCTTTATGTGCAATGTCAGCCAGGAAGAAGAACTCTTTTAAAATGTGACCAGCTGTGCCAAAAAAAGAGCTCACATGCACACGCTTCAAGAGACACAATAGTCAAAGAGGAAAGCATGTCTATGATTCCGGAAAAACACCAACAAAAAACTGTTTCCGTTCACAAACTGATGGAAAATAATGAAGAGACTTATACATCTCATCTGTCCTGTGCAGGCGTTTTGGGAGACAGCATAGGGAGCTGATAGCCATCCACTAACATGATGACTTAATATTGTAATGCTAATTGTAGTAGTCTGGGCATCATGTGACCCAAATAGATGGCAAAACGCCTGAGGCAGCTGTGGATATCTATCACACAGCGTACTTTCCTAAATCAGCCACAAGTAGAAGGAACAAACCCAAATGGCCCTTACTGTACAGTGTACAAATAATACTATTGCATTGCTTCTTTTACCAAAACACAATGAACCTATTTTTAGGCTGACATGGGGCTTGAAATAGCCTTACCATCATCAATTATCTAGCAAAAATGAATCTTAATACCATAATAATAATAATAATAATAATAATAAACTCTATTTATGTAAGTCATATGTGTTTATAAAGTAGTCTAATATAGATCTAAAGTTTTGTTTTTTTAATGATTGAACAACATCATGATCGTATTTGAATGATGCTGTAACACCCTGAGGAGGTCTGTTTACCTCATAATGAGTCTGTGGTGACTCTTCGTGCCACTTTAAATGTGTTTGCTGTCCTATTTGTGCAGCTGCTGATTCTTTTTGAAGTCATCGGTATGGTATCCTCTTTAAATTTAAACAGTTAAGGCTGTTGGATGTGTTTAAAAGGCAGATCGGCGTGCCAGTTAGTGATCAAAAGTGACAAGTATGTTGAGGTTTGTGTTAGCTGCCTGTTGAGTCCGTTTTATTGTCCTGTTGAAAGAAGTTTGTTTGCCCTGCTCTATTAATAAGACTTGGACTGATGCTGATCCCACAGTATATCTGTCTATCCCGGGGGATGGTGGTTATAGTAAATAATAAGAGGACAGACAGTCTTACCTTGGTTTCCTGCTGGCTGGAGTCCGTTGTCGGGGCTTTTGGTTTCTCAATCTGGTCATGATCTTCCTCGTTGCCCCCACTTTCGTCCTGAATCATGTTGGCCGGTGGGATCATCCTCTCTTTTTGGGATCACTAGAAAGAACTGTTGCTCTGCGGAGTTTGTTTCCTCCCCAAACTGTTTACATCGTTTCCAATCCACAACAGTCACAGTGACTCGAGGACACGAGGAGGAAAGTCATCCAGACCCAATACTGCTGCAGTTGTTAAAGGGGGATCCGAGTTTCACCTGCCGGCAGGAAAATATCAGAAAGACGTGATGAGGCCCTGGAAATAAAGGGCTTTCCGAGACAAAAGTTAAGACTTAGTCCGGTTACGCATTGAAAGTGTCCCGTCCTTCTAACGGAGGCTCTAGCGTGTATCGTGTCGTCGTGCGTAATGCTGCCGAGACATCTCCAAGTGTGTCCACGCTGCGCGGAACACACTGCCTGTACTCAGAGGGGCGGAGAGCGAGCAGAGGGAGGGAAGGATCGGGAAGGACGAGGGAAAGTACACAAGCACTGACTGCATCATGCCAAAATGTAGACCGAAGACACAGTCAGAGGGAAAAAGAGAAACAACCATATGGTCAAAATGAATCACTGCAAAATAAAAAAAAGATAAGGAACAGGGTAGCTTAATTGTTTCACGCGTTTCAAGGGGAAATCCACTACTTGATATGGATGTTACTGAGACAAATGATAGTTTTTTGAAAGGGCAAGGGATTTTCACTCCATCCAAGTATTAAGAATCATTATTAAGAACAACATTTTTTGTCAACAAATTATACTGAATTGTAAAAGGAATGATATGATGATGTTGGAAGATATCAATTTTAGTAAGTACAAAAGCTACTGGTAATTGTTTGTCATAACATATCAATCTTCTCTAACGTTGCAGAGAAAGTCAATCATTCTTTTTTTCTCCAAATATATAGCTTTTCTTTTGAATTTCAAACATTTGAGTTTGTTAACAGTCTTACCTTTCCTCTCAGAACGTTAAATTCCTTAATATTTTGTGTTTCTTTTTCTTGATTCTTGAACAACTATGTATCTTCGGATGACTATTTGGTAGATAGAACGTGAGTAATATACTAGTCTGGCCTTAAAATTAAGTAAACCGTGCCATTTAGGCTGCCATATGCTTTAAAAGACTTCTACACGCTTGTAAACCACCGAATGCATCCTGTGCCCTTGTTTAATATGTTTGCCTATGCATTACATGTCATTTGTTATGATACGCCCCTGCTGGAAAGTGTCTCTTTGAAATTCACTTTTCTAAGAGAATACATTCAAGACTCAGCCAAGAAAACAACAACACTGTTATAAACTATTATCACATCAATTAACCATTCTTTGGGAAGTAAACAACATTATGACACTTAAGCTTCTACACTGAAATATGAGGCGTCCTATAGCCGCTTCAGATAGGATAGGTGTCGGGCTCACTGTAGTGATACATCACGCTGCCTCCATCCTGGCTCCCCTGTGATGTGATGTCCTTGAAGTTATGGGACGAAAGGAGGTAGGCGCCAGACTGCAGCCTCCTCACTCTGACAGGAAAGCAAACACCAACACATCCCAGGTGCTGAGGCTTCATATCCAGCTCACTTTCTGCTGGAGTTTAGAGGGGATTCCTTCATCAAAATGTCAGCTACATCCCCTGATGATGCTCTTTTGTGTTATGAGGCTAGTTATCACGTTGTCAGATTACAGTTTGCCAAACATTTGGTTGTGTCATTTAAAAACACTGCTCAGCCACTTGTTATTAACAAGCGCTCTACAATTTATCATCAAAAAGCACCATCTAAATGACAAGGTTTCAGGGACAGATGATTCATCTAGTGTTTTAGAGCCAGGCATCAGAGAAACTGTGCATAATGACAGTTAATACCTCTCTGGATGATGCTGTGTATAATTATATCTACGGTAAATGGGTAATAGAGTTTAAGATACAGGTTGTTTGTCATGTGCTTATTAAGTTTAAAACATGAACATAAGGGGTTATTAATCTACAGCTGAGAGGTTTCTGAATCAATGCCGAGATGCTATGCCAAAATAATGTAATGCATTTCAAATGTATCCAGGGAGAGATCAATGGCTCCGCAGTTTGCCTACTGCCTGTCCTTGTACTTAAAGCTCTAAACATTTACATCAAGGTGAACCCCCCACTAAACACTGTTGCAATCCAATAATCCCAAATGGAAGTCATTTGACCTCTTACTATAACCATTAAACATGGTTTTTTTCATGAGCAAAGGCAGCTTGTTAAGTTTTATTTGTCATTCTCTTACATTTAGCAGTTTTGAGCTGGGCATCCTTTGTCAAACTTCTAGAGAAGCCATTAAATATGACATGTCTACAGTCCTCGAAGAATTTGTTTCCGAGTTTGCATGTCAATCAAACTATGATAACCGAGGAAACTCATCCAGTGATAATGCCTTCAAGGTTGAAACACCATGTAGTGGATCTTTATTGTGGATCTATTCTCCAACCTACTGAGCAGTGATGCTTACCTGTTGAAAATGTTGTCCAAATTATTTTAGCCACTTTGCGTGACTTTAAGACGGAAGGATATATTTGTTGTTTCTTCAGTGTAGTGTAGGAAGGATGGTGTTAAGATGAAAACACATTTGAGACCACAAGATGAAGTGGTCTGCTTTCGCTGATAGCTCACCACAACACATAACCAGGAGATTGCACAACGGTCCACCGGTTGAGTCAGACAATCAGAACATGAGTCAATGTTGTATTTGAGCGTGTGTGTCCATGTGGTGTCTGTGGTTTCTGTGAATCATGTCAGCACAAATAGCCAAATGCATGACCACCAGTTGCGCCAGTAAGCCAGAGGGGCCAATTGTTCCGGACCATGGTAGAGGAAGGGTGGCGTGAAGAGATGGGAGGAAGACTGAGCGATAGGGGTTTAACAGGGTTTCAGCGAGGAAATGTTAAGTCATGCAATTTCATGGCACTGGTTATTTAACAATTTATGAAATTTCCTGTTAAGACTAGTTAAAGACATCAGAGTAACTTCCTTTGTTCTGACCTTGAGACATTTCCCTCTGTTTACCTGCTGCCACTAGAGGACAGCTTGTAAAATACACATGAACATTTTAGTAGATTATATCAGAAAGTACATTCCATCCAAGCAGACATTTCCGCTTGGAGGATCAGAGTCAAACTTTCCAGAAACTATTTTTCAGATTTGTTTTTATAACCTGCTCTTGTAATTTTCATGCATTTCTAAAAACGGTATTCACACTCCTCAGGGAATATGATGATTCCACATGTGCGTAAACTCTGCAGGTCTGTTTTGATGTCTAATCATTATGTCCGCCCAGTCCAAATTCAGCTCCAACAAAAGCAAAGGACAGCATTCAAACAAACAGATCCCAGAGCTTTAATTAGCTTGTGGACAGGGGCAACATACAAAAGCAAAACAGAAGGTATAAGTGAGACTGAAGTGAGCCAAACTATAAATCAAAGCAACAGCAAAGAAAAGGCTAAAAGCTAACCGAAGCTAAAGCTAAACAAAATTACTCCAAGCAAATCCATTATACACAAAACATAAACAAAAACCATAAGCGAAAACAGCAGCAGGTGAACCTACAAAAACGGATAAAACAGGGAAAAATTAGAATAAACAATTCATTTAGATGTTGTGGCAGGTCACAGGTCTGGGGTTTAACCAATCACTGGTATACATACAGAATAACATAGCAGACACTAAGGAGACCAATTCATCCATTTTAAAATAGACTGCCTACCTGTCCTGTACCACCGTCCATGACAGATAGAGCCAAACGGAACCACAAAGGCCAACAGGTGCATTTTATACCTGCCCTAATGAGGGGAGTGGTTGGGGGAGGAGTCAGGCCCTGTGCTGCATTCAAGAGCACTGCACTTATTTGGGTATTGAGTATTACCCACTACATTTGCATACTTATGCAAAAGCTCAATTAATGATCCATCACCATACTTTTTAAATGTACATACGTAACAAATAAAGAAACCAAACCACAATGTAATTTGCGCAATAAACCGTGAGTTTGTCAGAATCACACTTCAATGTGTGTATTGAAGACACGTTGATATGTATTTTTAAATGTGCTGAATGTGTGCGATTGATTCTCTGCAGATACTTCAAGCTGTTGGCAGGTTGATTCCACAGAGTTGTAAGTGGTTGTTGGCGTTCCTCGCTGCATATGTAATGATTTCACACATGAATGTGTTGCATTGGTTACAAAAACACGTCACTGCAGCTAAATTCTGCCTTTGGAGGATTACAAGGATCCCAAGCTGTCTGAGTTTATGCTGGTTGGACTGAAACTGGATACAGCACCTTCCATCTTCCACTGCTAGCTATTTGTTAAAGCGTATGAGCACTATGAAGGGATATTGCAAGAAAAAATATTTTTAATATTTAAGCCTGCAAAACATTGGCTGATTAGTACTTAACACAAAGTAAAGGTTGATGGGAATGTCGTTTGGTACGTAATTTATCATAAAACAGTATGGGACTATTGACTGTTTACCCATATGGTGGCATTAGAATGAAAATACAGGGGATTACCAAAGTCAGTAAAAGTCATCATTTGGAAATCATAAATCTCTGTACAATATGTAATCATAATCAATTAAAAAGTTGTTACTGTATTTCAGTCTGGACCAAATAATCAACAACGCAGATCAATCAAAAAATCTGATCCTCATTGATTTATTGCAGATTTTATTTTTGCAGATGATCTGACTGGAACTCTTTAGGTGTCAGTGATAAGGTAATGTGTGATGAACATATCTAATCAAATCCCAACAGTTGGGTTGGAAGAGGTTACTTTTTGTTGTAAACACTGCCTGATCCATCCATGCCATATCCGCTCATCTATGTCTCATGAGGTTATGAAATCCCCCCTCAAGCTTTGTCTCACTCCAAACTCCACATATTTGCCTCTTTCTGGTTTGTTCTCAGCTACTCTGGGAGACTCAACATGGCAGTCAGCTATTGGTGTGAAGTTTTCTGCACACGCACATGGTGTTCGTGTCAGTCTCCAAGAAAACATGATGTGTTTGAAACAACATTATCCCAGTCATGGCAGGAGTCAAGCTAACGTATGATTGTAGTCATCATAATAATGATCATTTTTAGCCGTTAGCCCCTTTTTAGACTCATTATTTCTCTTCTTTTAGCTAAACCATACTTTAAAGTTTCCAGAGGTTTATCAATAGAATAATTTCAGAGCAAAATGTGAAGCAAAAATAATGTAAACTCTAATTTGATTGTATTTACTGAAAATGAATGGAGGCATATAGAGAATAAGGCCACGTTTACACGGAGACGAAACAGAGACAAAAACGAAAATGAACCTTAGACGATATCAAGAAAGTCTTCTGTCCATACGGAATCGGCTCCAGAACCGT